TTGACTAACAAAAATGAATCGTCTAAGGGCTTATAGCGTCTCGAAAATGGCATTAAAAAATATGCATGCGGTGTGTCGAGTACAAGCTGTACACGGTGTTCTGTATAATAATATTGGTACTTAAATACACGGGTTTTCAGCTACTAGAGCGGTGATGTGTAACAATTAATTATTAGCCTCTACTTAAATGCTCAACGGAGTAATCAACCTAACTTTTAAACTTTATCGTTATACAAGTGGTTAAAAACATAAAAGTTTGTGAAAAATAAATTGAGATCGAATTGTGCAAAAAGAAACAATACAGAACAAAAAAAAAAAATCAATAACTGATTAAACCCTATGAGACATTGAATGGATCACTTAAAAAAAAAATCAGCCTGTATAATGTAGTATCATCGATCAGACGACTAAAGTACAACACTTTTATGGGTTGCAAAAGTCTTGTTTTGTACAAAATTATTTATTTAAACCATTTAAATTCCACTAAAAAAATATGCGAAACGTGTTACAAAATGTTATTTTTTTGTCCATTATAAAACAAAAAAGACAAATCCAAAAATATGACTTGAGTAGGCTGATCCAAAAAAATTGGAAAATGAGTTGTCAACACTGTCTAATAGGATTTTTAACGGCCAATTCGAAAGTGTTGTTAGTTTGTTTAGAAACACACTTACACACCAGACCAGATTGGATTTAGCCTGGAAAGTAGGTATTAGCTTTAAAACTAACAAGCTCCATTTTATCCTGTGAGCGTTGATACCAAAGGTTCTTTTCAGTCGTATAATATTATGTTTTACTATACTTTTCAACAGTATGTTGGCTCTAAAATATAGAAAATTAACTTTTAATGTGATAATCCAATTAACGCATGATTTTCATTGTCCCATACTCTTAACCTCTTTAACTTCCTATCCTCTATGGATATTAACGACCCTAACTCTTTCGATATACTTAACTCCTGTTCCGCTGTTCCTATCATTCAATTCATCCTCGATGCTAGGCTTACATGTTATTATGTATTTTTCTGTACTCGTTTTCATACTACATGTAATACGTGTTGAGCTGACATATTTATGTTATATTTTTTGTCGTACCGACAATTCGTCCGCGTTGCTCGCTCCAATCATAATATACAAACCAGCTGATTACAATACGATTACACTTACCCACATAGGACCATAGCCTACACCGTGCAAGTACCCGGGGGCGGGAGAATTATGTACAATTAGCAAACATTGCGGCATCACCGAGCACGTATCATGTGGTTCTGATGAGAATATCGAGCAAAGGCAAATATCGACCCGAACAGCCGCGGCCACCGTATTATTATTATCAGCCAGCAAACGGCGCGCGACGTTGCCAAAGGGCCAAAAGTATGTACACCGGCAGAGCAGAGAAGAGGGCTTGACTTAAAAAAGGGATGTAGCGACGTCAGCTGGCAATATTGTGGTTTAATTGTCCATTGTCATTCCGGGCAAACCGGAACAAGTATTTTTTTTTTTTTTTTTATATATATAATTTCCACGTTACCCGCACATTATGCCGGCACCATTGTTAAACCCTTGATCCTATAGTGACTACCCGCCTCCATACTTAAATAATATATATATATATATATATATGTACTCAAAAGTAGTATATCTGTATATCGGATACCCTGTTTTTAAGCGCTTATTTATTTTTTTATTACATGCTATCAAAAAACACTTTTGTTTTGTTCACAAAAAAAAAAAAAAAAAACTTTCTTTCTTTTAGATATACTGTAAAACCATCGTGATTACAACGTTATATCGTTTTACATTAATTCGAACAAATATTTTTTTTCACCCCTCACGCCGACAAACGCCTTTGAAAACTTTATCCGGGACACTAAAAATATTCTATTGTACCGCTTTGGGTTTTTTTCTTATAGTTTCTTATTGGGCAAATATAATAAATAAGATACTACAGCGATAAGTTGACGAATAATAAATTGTTATTTTTATTCTCGAACGATATCATACTTGTCAACACGATAAATAAAAGACAATTAGTTAGTTTATAACTAAAAATTTGTCTGAAACGATACTTTTTTAATACATTTTAAACAAAATCCAAGATAAAAATATAATCTTAGCTATCATTTTGATCATAAATATAAATTTATCTTCAATTATATGTTGTCAAACTTTATCTTCAATATTGTGTCTATTATGGTTATTATTTAGACATTCAAAAGAATAAAAAATAATTAGTTGTAACAAACATGTTTAATGTCTTTAAATAAATTACAAAATTTTAAATATATTAAATTTTAAAAGATATAATCATTTAAGTTAAACTTATTTAATTTTCTTATCTATTTAATTAAGTGTTGAATTTTGCAATTTCTTAAGGAGTTCGGTATAGGAAAATTTTGTCAAAATCTTAATTTTAGTATTACAATTTTGTCTAATGTACTTTTTAGTAATGAGGAATCTTTGTTTGTAATAACTAGACTATTTTAGGAACAGTTTATAACGAATTTTCACTACTTTTTTCCATAGCACACTCTTTTCAACCGCTTGTACAATTAAAAATAACATCTAATTTTTAAATACAGCTTAATAAATAGCTCATTTTTTTTAGTGTGGCAAATACTGTGAAATAAAAAGTTTAGTTTGAAATAAATTACATACATTATATAAGTACACTCACGAATATAGTTCTTAGACATTTTAGGTGTCTTAAAAATAATGTAGGGACTTGTAATTAATTACGGTATACACTGATTGAAATAACCAAGTAGTTTTTAAAGTAAAATTAAAAAAAATTATATTAAAGATACAGTAGTATTAAATATAACGTTATATCTAATATTAATAAATGTATGATTTAATTAATAGTCTTATTTTTTGTTTTTATTATCATTTTTAATCTATATTTTCCTGCTTGAGGAGAAACATATGAATCATGAATATGCTTATGGCAGTAAACAAAGAACAATACAGTTTATAAACAAGAATTTGATTATACAAATAATTTTTTAAAGTTGATATCTTTATGTACATAAATCGAATAAACGGACGTTTAACAAGTGATACAAATTAACAGTCATCGGTTGGTTGTTGGTCAACAAGGGGACAGATTTTGATCTCACTGAATAGTGTTAAGCTAATTTTATACTTCCATAAAACGTTTTCATGTAAATATGTGATTTGTATATAATCGTGTAACTACCGTGTATTGTTGTTATTTGTTTCTGATTACCAACTTCATTGTTAATAAATTGTTTTTTTTTCTAAATTAGGACAAAGTCTGGATGTCATAGAAAAATGCATACAACTGTACTGAGAGATTTTATGTTTATAATTATTGTTTTGATTTATAGTACCTACTATACTTACCGGGACAGTCACGGTTGGCAATTATTATTTTAAAAATAAACATACCTCAAGGAGAGTATGACGTTTGAGATAATTGTACGTGCACCCGTCACCGGTACTAAATCATTTTTAATTTCAATATTCTTCATAGTTTCGAGAAAATGTAGTGAGCTTGTTAGAAAATTAAAAAAATTATTATGACAAAAATGAACGTTGTCGAAAACATGATTTCGTTCAGAATAATAATTGTGGCCAACCACGACTTAATGATTGAATCGGGTACTTTTTAAATAATTGTATACATTTTTTTTCAACATGGTAATTATTTTGTTTTTTAGGCTGAGGTCAACCAAAAAAAAAAAATTTGTGAGAATTTTCGAATAGCATTTTTCACTTCCTGCTAATTTATTTGCTCGTTTACTCGATTAGTTTACTTGTTTCTGACTTTTGTGATAAAACAAAAATTTCCTAGTGTTGGATTTATAGCTATTTACTTGACCTTTGGGCTGTGCCACATCATAACATCATTACAGCATCAGTACCTATGTATGAGTTTTATAGGTGTTATTAGTTAAATATGTGTTTTATTATACCAATCGTCAAAACAACTATAAAACGAATTCAAGGTACGATTTCCTCTGTTACTGTCAAAAAAAAATGTTGTGAATATTTCAATTGCACAAAATATAATATATCTTTTACTTGTGTACTTTTTTATTTATTAAAAGTTGTCAGTTGAGAATTTGTAAATGTAAAAATTACTAAAATTGTTCAGCTCAGAAAGTATGGCCAATTTTAAGATATTGATAAGACATTAATAATAAATATATTTTTTAGTTGTTAAACTAAATGTTAGACTAATATAAATAGTTTTTGGAGACTTTAATCACTATTTGAACACTTCTAACTTTGTTATAATTGGTCTCTGAACGAACATCTTAAGTTGGATTTTTGAGAAACGCTATTATTTTAATAACATAATCTTATTATTTTGAAGTTATTGAAATTTGTAAAGTTCAACGTTCTGTTAACACCAGCTATTTGAAAATGTATAATTTTTATTTTTATTCAATTAAATTGTCCTTACTTGAACTCTTTTATAAATAATTGATATGGCATCTTGTTGAGTGGGTAATTTTAAGTGCAATTATGTAAGACAAGACAACTTTTGAACGCACCAAACTTGTTGTACCTAGTAGTCATAAAAATGTGAGCACAATTTTGTTGTTGTTAGTCTCGTCGTAATTCATGGATTTATATTTTTTTAATTTTTCTTATGCCACAGTTTTATTATTTATAATTAAACAAAAGTAATAATAAATTCCTTTAATCATCATTAATTAGGTTCCGACTACTTGAAGTTTTTCGTTCAATACTAAATTATGCGCACTTAACGAGTTTTCTTGTTAGCACTTAAGATTATAGTGGAATACAGTGGGATCCATTACATAACTATAGGGCGAGGATGGAAGTATATCTGGAGAAGGAGGAGGAGGAGGAGCTTATACAGTGTTAAAATAAAAACGTTTTGAAAATGGTTTATATTTTATAGTGTACCACCCAAGCGCAATCGGATTAATGGCCACATCAAAGTAAATTCAAATTATAAATGCATTACTACTTCGTCATAGAATTACGCCATTTAATGACCTTTTTAGTGGTAGGGTTTATTTTTTTTTTTATAAACAAGTCAATTAGAATTACAGTCGCAATTTAAAATGCGAATTTTTTCATCGAATGTCTGTTCGACAAGTTTCCACGGACAAAGTTCACACTTATCTCCATTGTCCAACTCGAAGGGTGTTAAGACTTCGTTGATGTAAAACGATACCATCAATTCGTCATTGCCACAATCGTATAATACAGCCGCGGTGTTTGCACCGAACGGGTTCAACTTTGATGTTTTCCATTTCCTGTCTTCCATCTCCTCCATGTTGTCGTAGGTCAGCCGTTGCTCGTCCTTTGCCACACCTAACATCACTGCTGCAGCAATCATGTTTGAACGATGGGCAAATTGAAACACCCCTTTCGGTCCCTTTCCATCGGCTTTTTCTCTAAAACGGCAAGGCAGAATTTCAATTGTAAACTCGGTTATCATAACAACACGATAATGTAAAATACTTGAAACTATCGTTGAGCTGCTTGAGTAAGGGACAAGCGAAATATTCATGCAACCGACAACCATAACCGAACGAATAGTACCAACCGAGATCGTCCAAGTATTCCAAAACCTGCAATTCTGTTGATGTAAATACGATTTTTTTCCCTTCAAAATAACACTAATTATAACAGCTGTAAAACGATGTATCCTGATTTATATTCTCTAGGGTTTTCTATAGTTGGACACTAGGAAAAAAGCGATAAACTGAAAATGTTCTTTCATTTTTTATTTTAGAAAAAAATCGTTTAAAATTTCAATTAGTTAAACGGTTCATAAAAAAAATGTTCAACGTACTTAATAGGTAAGTTTTATGTAAACATACTTTAATCATCTATCTCTATTAGGCAGTTCAATAGAGTAAATTGGTATTTTAATTTAAACCAGAGAACAGCATCAGGAAAGATAAATGGTTTTCTCTCACAGAAATAACGGATAGTGAACTGTTTGGATATCTTTGAAAATGTAATTTGATTTTGTAAGGTGATGTCTTTTTAGGTTTGAATTAAAGCTAAAATTAAACGTATTGTTTTTTATTGCTAAATCTTAAGTAAAATTATTATTAAAAAAAATTCAAAATAAACATATATTTTACTTTACGGTCCTCTTTTGAAAAAACTCTGCACCAAACCGGATTTGATTTAGGGTCCGTAGCTCTACCATGACGACACGATTCGAACATGGTTTCCAGTTGTTCTGTAAACATGTCTGATTAATTAACTACCTATCTATTATTTTATATTATAATGAAATGTAAGATTTAGTGACTTATCGGTGAACGGTCCATATTATAGGGAAAATAAGTAATGCCAAAAGTATATTAACCTTTGTATGAAAACTGTTTGTCAGTTGGAAGTATCAAATTACAAAAATAATGATATACGGTGTTGTTTAATATTAGGTATTTTCATCACTGTTCGCATTCGAGTTACGACAGACAAGATTGATTGAGAGAAGAGTATTGAGACAAGCAACCCTTGTTTTGCCAACCTGTACAACCTTTAAAATTAGGACAAGAACCTTTTGTTATTTACCTAAAGTGATCACGTCTTTGTCTAAGCCCATTTTTTCGGCTACTCTGGACAATACATTTGCCATGGTATCGCTTTTTTTGAAATCGTTAATTTGCGACTCGTCTACAATTCCGCCTAACTGGGCTTTCAAGTTGTAAAGCTAAGGAAAACAAATTTTCTTAAAAAAAAAAAAAAACAAATCCGGCTGTCGTTTACACTTACGTTTGGTAAAACATGGTTGTCTACATTTTTGGAAAGGTCTTCAATGTGCTCAACTCCAAGAACGGCTTGCATAAAGGCCTGGGCGCTGGTTATACAACGAGATTTCGGTGCCGACATAACCTAATCAATATAATCGAATAGACAATTGAAAGGGTCAATGGATAAAGATGTTAACTAACATTTTTTCAAACATGTATTTTAATGCATGCATAAAAGGATGCATATATTTTCCCTCTTATCAGTTATTTCATCTATTGAATAAACAAAAGTTCCGCAGTTTTTGTGTAATATTTAGTTACAAAAGTGGCGTTGCTGAACAATTTCAAAAATGTCAGATAACACCTTTATCCATCGACCCCTTCAATTATTAGTTTAAGAATAACATTCGGAATCAATATAAGGTGAACGACACGGTTTATTATTACTTTATACATTTCCGGATCATAAGGCTCATCAAATAGAGGTTTGAACGTCGCCCGTACTCTTTCTCCCAGACCTATCATGTCACGGATTCCTTGGATGGTTAAATTTCTGTCAGTTGTCCCGTCGTCGTTAATTTGCCAATTTTTCAAGTCCTCCACGTCTTTTTCGTTCATTTTCGGTTTGTCCATTTTACTTATTAAGTCGGTCAACTTTGACATTTTTTTAATATAATTACTAGAAGAATCTCTTGTCCCGTGTCGGACTGCCATGAATATTTGTATTGGGTTACATGCTAAAACGAAACATTATTCGTATTACTTTCCCAAAAATACATTGTCACATATGAATAGTTATTGATCTGGCTGGACCACACTGTACTCAATACAATATAGGATAAAGTTGTGGAGAACTAGGTGCTTGTAGGTCGTTGGATTCATAGGCACCAGGAAGTATAAGATAGTAAATAGTTGTGCATCTAAGATGTGTTATTAATAAATTCACAAACTAGACGGTAAGCTCACCGGATGGTAGTTGTGGAAATGTGTTTTCTAAATTGTAAACTGTTTTGCTACCAAATTGCCAATATTGATCGGTATCTTCACAACGGTCATATTGAGTTGGCTCGATATTTGTTTCTCCGTAAAGTCCACTAGGTTGATCATGCAAACCTTGGGCATTCATTATAAATGCCGGAACAAGACAAAAAAACAACAACACAATCCTAGGTAAAGAAAACATTCTTTAGTTGTATTTAGTCTTTACTGTAAAAAAAACTAGCATTTTTTGTTTGTATTTAAATCATATTATTCAATCGCATACGGTGTTTATAATTGTATATTACTAGTACCTACTGTTTTTCTATCATATTTTATGGACTTTAAAAAAAAAAAAATTACAATTATCAATTTAAAGATGTTACACATGTTAGTATGTATTATCATTTTAACATAACTTTTAACAAGAAGAATTGAGACGTATAAGCTTTTTTTTTTTATTTAGCTCAACAATAATAATGACCGTTCTCACCAGTTTGGTGAAACATTAAAGAAAAGGTTAACTATAAATATTTTAGTGTTGTTAATTTATGTTAATTTGTTTAACTAGGCTAATGAGAATGGCTATAAAGTATTCTCTCTGAAAAGAAAGTTAATAATATCTAAAGATAAGTTAATTAATTTTAAAATTTAGGGCATATATTATTAATTTAGGGATATATTATAAAACTACACGCCGCAATTATAATACATTAGTTACTAATATCTATAGCAATATGTATAATTGGTGATTCTTTTAACGTCCTACACCTATATACATGTATATAGAGAGAGACAGAAAGAGAGAGAGAGAGATAGAGCCAATTGGATAGAAAAAACTGACTTTTGTTTTTCTAGCTACATTTCCCAATTACACTAGTTAATAATGATTGAGGTATAAAAACCAATATGTTATTATACAACCAAACAAATAACAATTACTTCCTGTTATTGTGCTTTAAAATGCATCCAAAGAATGAAAACACAATTCATTTTTTTAACATGAAAAGGTCATGATAAATTTGGAGAGATAATATCACAACTATTACACACGCTAATAACTACTCATTAACTGGTAAAAAACGTAGTTGACAATGCATTGCCATAGACACGTGATAATAATAGTAATAACATCAATATCCAAGTTCGAAAAACTGAACTATACTCGTCATTCGTCATTGTTAAGTGTTATAATATTCGTGTTCTATTCAAAAAGAACGAAATTAATAAATAAATCGATGTCATTTTCCCATCATCTAGTCAATTTTATTGAATTTTAAATTAACAATTTTGATAATAAATGCGCTTGGTATTTTCAAGTTTTAATACAATTTAGTTTTTCACACATCCGTTATAATGTCGACAAGAGATATCTATGATGACATAAGGCCGTTTCTAATCATGTGTAAAGTACTCGTATTGACAAGTCTCCAAAACGCTTTTTCGGGTCAGCCAATTTTTCAATGGGGATATAGTATAGTATACCTTATTGTAAGTATGGCTGAAATATCGACGTTCTTTTTTTTTTAACTATGGGGAAATTTTCTTTCACATTTACAGTAATACAAAAAAACTAACCTTAAAATAACTTAAAAGAAATGGAATTTAGGGGATTGAAAGCGGACAGGTTTTTAGGAGTTTTACATAGGCAATATTTAAGAAATAAGGGATTTTATAATACATATCGACCATGTCATTTTACTAACCGATTAATTTGTATACACTTCAAAGTACTATTTTTAACTTGTACAATTGTACACGTGTAAAAAGTCATGTAATTCATTAGGTACTAACGGGGCTTGAATAAAAAAGAATACCCTGGGGAGGTTTTTTTAATTCTAAAATGATCCCACGTCTGTTGAAAATGTCATTAAAACGGCATTTTAGGAGCCTTATGTGTTTGAGTCTTACATAGGAAACACGATATATTGTTATAATACTACAGTGTACGAGTATAATCATATCGACGAAATTTTACTGAAATAATTATTTATTGTCGAGCAGATAGTATACACTGGAATTTTGTACGTTGCGGTTTTTGTCAACGTCCAAAGAAATCGAACGCCCTTAATGCGGTATTGGATATTCAATTCTGTTATGCGTGAGATTTGCCGGCAAACTTCAGCAACGTACGCAGATAGTCAAGTACCGGGAATCTTAGATAAAATCTACAGGTTCGACTTGGAGCAAGGGCGCCATTTACAGTACCGGTCTACATCCCGGCACTTCTTCGTCTTATATTTTATTTTTAAAATAGCCATAGTCATATGCAGTGTCGTGGACTTAAACGACAACGGAGTTTCATTGGACAACATGTACAGTGTCTTTTTTAGGTGAATAAATGACGTCAGTCTCGGGTCTCGCGAAATCAAATAGTTCGGTTACTTGTACACGTACAAGTAGATGGCTAACATTTTAACCAATATTTATTTATACCCATTTAAAAATGTAATGATGTTTAGGTACTGGACCTCGTTGTATCCGATCATGTACTTGTTCTTGTGCGATCAGCTTTATTTTCGATTTCGGGCGGTTGAAATGAGATTGACTTCGGAAGTGACAAAGTTATTGATGGCGGCTCCGTTGCAAGCCACACCGCAAACGATGGAATTAGAACGGTTAGCGCACGCTCAGCTCTGCGACCTAACCAAGGATGTTCGGTCAGCGTTCGGACCAATGCTCACTACTTATGTAGTCTTTGTGTTTTTCGAGCACTTAGCTCGTTTTTACTCCTTAGCGTATCTGCAACCGCTGAACCAAGTCAATCACACACATAACAACTCCACAGACCAAAACATTTTCCAAGTACTGGAACCGCTGATGTTCGTAGCGCATAGCTGGACCGGTATATACCTGGTTGCTCACTATTCCGGCAAGCTTACCCAATCAGTAATTACACTTATTATAACCAACTATTAAGCTATAAGGGAAATAACGCCGTACAACTCTTTTACAATACCTTTCTACTACACTGTCTAGAAAAAGAAATGATCACCTTTCTACATAATATAGCGTGACAGAAACCAAAATGGCGCACAAAAAAAAATCTGTCGAATTGGCGACCGAGCTAAGTCTTGACTCCGCTAAGCCTACTGTTGATCAGAAAAACCACAAAAAAAAAATGTGCATCCCCGCACATTCTGCAGGCTCAGCAGGCGTAGCTTATAACACGTTTAATAACTTACTACAATCATAAGAAATTCTCCAACTATTCCCTTCGTTGCTCAACTAAAATTGATTTTTTTTTATCATCAAACCATTTTCTCTAATACATATCCTAATGGATTTAGTTTCACTCCCAATCCATCTGTACTCTCTCCGCTCTATAAGTTATAACTGTCCACCCGGGTCAAATGGAACATTTTTTATTGACTTGGAACACTGTACTGTAATAGGTCCTTAGAGTTGTTTTTATATTTTTTTTTGTGAAACAAATATACACATTTAAACAAAATAAGTTATAAATTAAATTTCCATCACCTAACCTTAAATAAACAAAAATTAATTGTTCCGAGCCGGACGCCTGTTTCATTTCACCCGGTTGACCATTATGCGCAAAAAGTATATTCCAAAGAGCATATTGTAAACAAATAAATGTTAAATACGTGATTACGCGTGTTTTAGAGCAAAATGATTAAAGTAAATTTGAGAAGTATACCCTTGTGGAAATTACCAAAGGACTGTGTTGATCAGGTACAATAATTTAGTTTTTTTTTTTAATTATATAACTTGTTATGAGCTTTTAAGGTTAAGATGTTTTGCTCCATCTGCCCTTAATAATAGTTATGCCTAATAATGATAAAAATAATATGTTACTATAGGTGATTTTATTCATAATTCAAGTGGAAACTTCTAATACAATAATCCGGCCTCTTGGTTTTTTTACAATGGACAAAAGTATTATATCATCTGTAAGTACTCCAAGTACAGTTCTCAATTTTTAGGGTCTGACTGGCCTATGATCTAAGTAAAATGCCACAATAGAATTCGTGCATGTAAGTTTTTATCATAGGTGTCCGAATGCTGATAGATGATAAGCTTAAGGGCTAAATATACAACTAATTTGCTCACAATATAATAACATAATATGGAAAATATTTTAATAAAAATAATTTTTATTAGAAACATATACTTTTGAATTTGAAACTAGTCTAAAAATGTATTTTTTATTTTATTATTTAAAAATTAAAATACTCTATACTCCAGTAAATTTAATATACAAAAAATACGTTTATCTATAACTAGTCATTCTTAATTTAGGTAAACTTTAATTACAATTTAATTTTTTCAGTATAAGTTACAAAAAATGTTGGTCTTGTCTTGATCATTACATCAAACAAGAAAACCGATAATCAACTATCAAAATAAATAAAAAACAGGTTTTTTAAATGCATACAAATAAAGTATATATCGTTCCAAGTATGTGTCATCGGGTGCCGATACCTATTTAAAAGAGAGTTGATAATGTTTTCTAGAAAATGTTGAAGGTGGATGGGAAAGGATTTAAACTATAGAAATGTGGATTGATAAAATGACTTCAAGTATTGTATAAATATAAATATTTCCCTCGAAAGAAAGACATTGCATCATGAATATGTACTATGTGGCCTTCCCCAGACCTGTCATCACTAATTTAGCACGATCCTATTCCCTTTTCTTTTACTACGAAACTACAATTATTTGTTTCAGATAATAATGACATTGATTACATATATAATTGTGGTGGTACAATTATCACCGGGCATGATATCCTTATTTAAAATTTCTACATAAAAACAGATTAAGACACATTTTTTTGAACTCAAACGAGGAATAGATAGATATGTATACATTATTAATCCGACAAAAAATATGTGCAGGTATTCAAATACTACGGTTTAATAAATTTAAGTAACACGTCATAGGTTTATTGGTATTTGAAATTATGTTTTTGTTATTATAATTAATGATATTATGTTGCATATTAAGTACTTAATTATTAATTTAATTATTTATTAAGTACTTAATTGATTAATTTTTTTACTTACTGTTAAAATATTGTTACAGAGTTAAGTATTAAATAAAATATTGGATTGAAAATTAACTAAATATATTTTTTTTAAGTCAACTATGAATATTTGAAAGAACATTCATAAATGGAAATAATTAATGGTTACTGGTAGGTAAACGAGTAACTAAAAAAATTAAACTGGCAGTAAGACCATTTAAAAGGAAAATAGACGTATGTGAACTTGGCGCAGTCATCTTGTAATAGATCTCAACCAAAACCATTCAACAATTTTGTTGGTCATTTATTAGTCATTGTTGGACCATTTAAAAATTTGTCGGACGTTCGTTACAGAGTTATAAGGTTTTTTTTTGAAAAAGGTTAACGTGATTGTAATCGCTCACTTTTAAAAATAAAATACTATTGTCGTTTACGGTCCATTTCGCTCCAAAAATTTAACCATACCTACCGTAAACCTTCATTATTTGTCTGTCCTACACAGCTAATTATCATAACGCTGATTAAGTATAAGATAGTTTCAAATATCACAAACGAACAGAAAAAAACCAAGTCTGAAAGGGTTAAAAACAATATATTTTAAAACTACACTAAACATATAAACATAATATAATAAAAAAATATTAAGCAGCACAGTCTAAGACAATATAGTAAGAAAGATAAGAAATCATAGCTATTAAATTTGACAGAAATTTCATCACAATTAAATTAACTAATTTGTTTACTTTTATGTAATGAATGCTGTTTTTGATATCCCCAGAGTACAGTGTATAAGTTCATAAATATAGAGCAGATTAATTATTCGTTCTTAATGTTTACGACTTTTTTAGATTTTTCTAAGCATTACTTTTGGAGATAAGGTGGGGGGCCACATTCAGAAGTGTTGATTCAAAACATTGTTTTAATAAAAGTAACACAAAGTAGAGTAATATAAATCATTAAATTGGTCCCCACTATACATAAGTATTTGTTTTTAATTTTACATAAGCTTAATAATATTCTTAAACAGAACTTTGAAAACTGAAAATTATTTGAATACAACACATAATTTAAACTCGTTGAAGTACCGAAAAAATTAAAAAAAAAATTTAACATCCCCTTCCCCATCACCACCCCACCCCATCTTCATTACCACCCTTAACCCCATCTACATTCCCATCCCCAACCCCAACTTCATTGCATCCACATCCCCACCCCGCACAAATTTTATCGGTAACATTCAGCGTGAAGCACAGATTTTCTTATTGACCCCGAGCCAAAAGACATATCCACGTCAAAAACAAATATATATACAAATTCATGACAAAGAATACAATATATGAGATGATTTATACTGCTAATGTTCGTATAAAAGCAAAGCTATAATTTAAAGGTGCCTCTACACTAGCATTTATTATGGTGTATAGCCAATTTTTCACTAAAACCTAACCCAGTTAAAATTTGTAAACATGCACCTGTGTTAATATAATATATTATAATTAATATATTATATTAACACAGGTGCTAATGGTGTCTCTTTCTTTGACTGAATTGCATTATTTATGAGTGTGTCCTTACAAAACAATAAGGATAACAGTTTTTTCAATTACGTATGACTTACTAAAACAAAATCAATTAAGAAAAAAACACCACAGTCTAAACCAGCAGAGTTCAAACAAAGCGCAGACTAAACTATTATTATCTAAGCCAATTACAATGTAAATAAGTACAGCAAAGTTGGATCGAATTAATAATTATTAAATTTGAGTTCATGATTTCATTAGAATCTAACATTGTGATGTGAATCTGCAAATAGTAAGAGTTCGTCTCAGTTTAAACCAGCATAGTAGAAAAGATCAGTGTTTTTTTAAGCCCATAAAAACGCCAAATTGATATACGTATTTACCGTACGTTTTTAGAGTGGAGTAGTATAGAATAATACTTTTAAAAATATAACAAATATATTAATTGTTTGCCTAATACAAGTAGGTGGAAAATATTTTTTTCTCATAGTGTGGGGCATAAGAGGATGAGGAACTCGAGAGAGGCTCGATCTCCCCTCGGTTTCCTAATTATTTATTTATATTAACTATTAATTATGTTGGACGGAACAAGGGTTCCTTTTGCTCAACAATATCATTATATGTTTCTTAAAGTAGGTACCGAGTAAAGAAATATAAATTTCAAAAAGAACTCACTTATACAAAGCCGCCTCACCATTACAAAAAAACGTGGTCATATTGTTTAAATTTTAAACTTAAGTAATTTTATGAACTTTGTTGAAGCGTTTGGTGTTCTCTAAGACGCAGATATTAAGTGAGAATACGTTTACTAGTAAGACAATAGTAATAAATAAAAATATGTTTACAAATGGCTGACTGCAAAATTTACACAAGCGTGCAATATTAAGTTAATATTTGTAGAAAACATTATTTAAAACGGATTCCAATTTAATTTATGAGTCAACTAGTATCAAATCGCAAACTAAGTATAATACAAATTCGAGATGCTTTAACTTTTACAGAAATTTTCGACTTGGCGTCATTAGGTATATTTCTCCTAGGAATTGTTGTCAATCTTTGTTCACCTTATTTGGCCGAATTTTGGGATTATAGTCAGATGTATAAGTTTAAATACGAACGTTTATCTTTAAAACATTAAAAAAAAAGTTCAAAAATCTAGACAAATTTATATTATTGTATTGAGGGAACTTCCAAAAATAATCCAACACTGTATTGCGCACAATATTACCTTAATTGGAATGATTTTGATTGATCTAATTTATACCATTTTACCAGTTTTTTCAAAAATAACAATATTTCTCTATTTTTTTAGCTGTAATATACAATGCAATCTAACGGAAAATACTGCCATAAAGTGCTTAGTGTTCTTCTTTGAAGATTAATGACTTAATGATTATTTTGGCTTTGACTTGGTTGCACAGTGTCAAATTTTGACTGTGCTGTCTTACACTGTACTTAGTTTGAACTGTGCTAGGTTAAAGTGTGTTGGTTCATTTTTTGTTTGGTCCATTGCACTCACAGCTGCGCATAATTTTAAATGGTTAATGTATACAATTTATTTGTTTTTGCATTTGCATTAGCGCATTAATTCATTTTTTTTTTAAATGTTTATGTACATTTATTGATCAATACAAATAATATAATATAGATAAATGCATTTAATTATGTACTATCAATTTTTATGTTTATATTTGTACTATAAAATTACATTCGCCATAATTGATTACAGTCACTCCAATAAACCTAACATAAGTACTATTTGAATTTCCAATGCATTTATTAGACACTTTATGAACTGTGTGTTAAGTTTAATGATGAAACGGGATACTAGAAATGAAGACGGTATAATTATTTTAAACCGACTTTGTCAGGAATTGAAAACAACCGAGGGCCTCTTACACAGCTGAAATTGTAGTAGGTATATAAGTAGAAAATAATGTGCACGTGTATTGTTCAAATATTTTTTTAAAAATGTGTTTTACTTGGCGCAAAAAATATTAAGATTACTCATGTACAAATTTATCGGTTCGAACAAAACAAACAACAGTTATTGCTACACATTATTATTGCAAGTTATACCACATTAACTGATTTCAATATACGAGTAGGTAGGTCCTAAATTTTGGATACCAAGTTGTTTATCCCGGTAAAAAACTATAGGCACCAAGCTGACTACATTAGGCCAACAACACCACACACACTAGTATTGTAATTTAGGTGACTATAGTGTATGGATGCTTATTTTACAGCCATTTTTTAAACTAAAATACTTAAACCATCACATGCGATTTTACATGAATCGCTATTATTTTATAGATATTAACTAAATAAATACATCGATTTTAATACAAAACGATTCATACTAATTTTATAAATGAATACTATATAAAATTAATCAGAATTAATAAATATGTAATAAAATTACTCTTTCCCAAATGCAGTCTGCGTCCTAAAAAGTTTTCATGGGTGAATTTGTAGGTTAGGTGACCGGATAGCATCCAAGTACTTGACTTGGTGGAGAGAGGTTAATTAGACATCGGTATCCCAAGTATTTAATCTTCTCTTTTTTCTTATTCCCCTCTAAAACGAGTAGGTATATCACTCAGAAATTTATCGATTGACTAACTAACAAAAAAAAATGTCAATAAATTTCAATATCGCACTCCTTTTTTATAAATTTGTCTGAGGAATACATTACTTTTTTCAAATCGAGCACTTAAATGGGTCTAGAGTTAACCACACAGTCACATAAAAAAAAAGTTTTCTAATTATTTTATTTTTAATACAAAAAGTAAGAATTTTACTGATTCAATAATTGCGACTGTAGTTAATTCCGGACAGCTGCATATTAATAAATTATAATTAACATATTATGTATAAATCACTACATGTATTGCATACCCGTTACTTCGTATTATTTATACTTAAGTATTTGCAAATTCACAATTACAACCATCACGGGTAAATAATTGAAATTCTTCAAATGCAAGAATTATAAATGTTTCGATTTTCAAATTGCAACCGGAGCATCTGGATAAAATTCTGATTACATTTTTAATTAAATTTTTTTTTTTGAGGGGGGGGGGGGAATTCTATTATCAATTGCTTCATTATACTCGTTTCCAAACCACCCATGGGGTAGAGTATTTGGCTCGTTTTTTTTTAACGTGGTATCTCCATCTACGATGACGCTTCAAATTGTATTTACTGTAAAACCACCAGCAATGCGTGGTAGAGCGTTTCAGTAAAGTAAGCTAGTCAGTATTTAATTGGAATTGTGTGTGTAGCGTGCATTATTCGATATTATTGAAAATATTACGGGTAATGCAGATAATGACGATGAGGGTATCAAGGAGGTTATCCTGCTGGATCACGGTAGAGGTTGAATCCAAATTGACAGCTTGGGCAGCCACGCATCAGACAATGGTGGACTTAGCATCTATACATAGATTCGGGTTTACCTTAAGTTTAACTTCATCGCGACGACATCCTGGTATTGGCAGCTTGGTCGGCCTCGCAGTAAACGTGGTCTTGCACTGATGTCGATCGAACTTATGATTAACTTAATACTACAAACGCATTAGACTATTGAGGTCTTATGCTTAATAAAGGGTACCAAGGAGGTTATCCAGCAGGATAACGGTATACGTATTGGTAGTTTTATTTACAAACAAATCTTGTTACCAAATAAGTTTGCAACATGAAATAATAATCGGACATAGGTATGTCTGTAGAAATTCAAAAGAATAGTGCAAGAGTGTACAAAAGTTAATGCACATACAGATGTGACTTACTATTGTGTAAGTAGTTTAGTTTAATTAGCTGAAGTGATGACAGTGCTATAGTGTGTAAATTTACTTAAATAAATAAATTATAGTTTTGTGGTTGTTTAAAATAGTTTATGAGGGGAGAAATGAGAATAAAATGGCATCATCGTATATAGACCTAATCCACGCAGTACTTGATTTGATGGGGAAGTAATTTGGAGCTCCGAGTATTGGTCAGAGATTTTAGCGTAGGTATCTTTTTTGAGAAATACATTACTTATACCAAATCAAGCACTAGAAAAGGGCCTAGAATTAACATCCCATTCACATAAAAAAAGGGTTTTTCAATTTCATTTCATATCCAATTTACGAGAAGGAGATTTTAATGAATAGAGAAACGTGAATACAACTATTTCGACTGTATAGTTAATTCCGGGCCCTTAAAACGATATATAGTTCAATTATTATTAGTATTTAAAATAAATTTCTACATGCATTGCTTACCAGTTACTTAGTGTTATTTATACTTATTTGGAAATCCATGATCAACCGTCACGTGTAAAGCATTGGTCGCCTTCGGTGGAACGCTTAGGATTTATTTTTTGAATAGCTTGAAGATGTGTCCAACCAATCTTATAGTACACTGACAATAATGTTAAAGTCGTTAAAAAAATGAACGGTTTTAACGGCGTAAAAAATAACTGAAAAACGCTCTGACACGCTATATATTGTTCGCTGAAAATATTATAACACAGGTATTGAATTTTAATGTTTTATAAATATACATTTGTTACTAACTCCTTGTTATTAAGTTAACATAGAAACAAATTGATTTCAGCCATTGAAAACGCACATGGAATTTTGGCCAACAAAAGTTTGCTTATTATCATAATATATCTGAATACAAAATCCGCATAATATTATTTATACTAATTTAACATGAAGCGACAGAGTAATTGTAATTTATAAAGGGATGTAGCTCGTCCAGTATGCATAATGCACGTATTATTCAAACAATTATTTATTATAACAATAATCTTAAACTTAATTTTACACTTAATCAAATTAATGATACAAAACTTAATTTATTAAACATCAATGGAAATTATTTGAAAATTTCCGATTAAATATTATATGCACTCATCAAGAATAACTATATGTAGAATATCTAGATAAACAAGGGTATTGAAAACGGGCGGTTTCTAAGGGGTTTTATGTAGGCAATATTTAAGAAGATAGTGGTTTTAATAAATGTCGACTATGTAAATTTATTTTCAGGGTAATTGGTATAAGCTTCAGGATATAAATTTTAACTAACACAATTTTTTTCCTACCAGTCAAAGCTATTTTGTTCTTACAGGAAACCAGTTTTGACCTAAAGGCGTGACAAAATTACGCATAATATTTAGAATGATCGGATTTTAGTTCTGTAGAAATATTTCTGCTCATCGACCTCTTTTCCAGGTTATTGTAGAAGTCGATTTTATAACAACCGTTTCGTTTACTAAAAACAAATAATGGGAATACTAAAATTTTTAAAAATTCAAATAGAACTTAAACACAATTTAAATTTAAATATCAAAAATCTTTTCCCACATTACCCTGGAAAAGAGGCTGCTAAGCTAACAGTGTTTACATAATTACATTGGGACGCCATAAGTTGGCGTAAGTTTGTCAGCCTGACAAACAAAATGGGCTATTTTATCAATACAAAGTTAAATTGCTGGATATATTGATTTTGAGGATGTTATTTGCGATTTTGCAGCAATCAAATCGAGAAAAATATAATTGTGGTTTTGAAAAACTTTGTATGTTTTTGCACAATGCTCTTCCATTTAATACTATTCAACTTTTTTAAGGGGGGGGGGGCACATATATTCAAATTTGCCTCAGGCGCCAGAAGAGCTTACTACGGTTCTAATCTGATGCTAGTTCAGGATTTTCGTTGGAAAATGACTAATCGTATGAATTATGGAGTAATTAAAATTTTCCTGTCTTGTCCACATTCTCTAGAATCGG